ATTTTAGACACATTCTAGACAGTTTATCAGCAAAAAAAAAAGTTAATTTTGGGGTAAGTTACTCTTTAAGTTGTGTTGCTGCAATAAATATCAAAATTACCTCATTTAAATAAATGCTAGTTTATTAGCTTGATGTGTTTATTTTGTTTTATTGTGAAAGAAATATAGATTGTGGAGGTTTGCTAATCATTGTATTCTGTCTTTGTGTATTCACTGCTCTCTGATGTGTTGTTGCAGGAATCCGGAGTCTCCTGAAGCAGGAATCTGTTCAGAAAGTTTACAATGGACTACAAGGATACTAAAACAAGTGACACAGCCTGGACTGATTTCTTTGCTACACAGTAACACAAACACACATGTTGAGGTCAGAAAGAGTGTTCTCCAAGGTTCTATCTAGTCGGGGTGTATTTATTATTTTCAAATTATTCTCAGGACGATTCAATCTAGTTGGTCTTTATTTTTTATGCATCTTGTGAGGAGCAGCAGCAAACGCTGTTTTATGTGAACTCCCCACATGGTGTACTGTCACACGAACAACTTTTTGAACATTCTAATAATCAGTGTAGGAACATCTGTGGCTGTCCTGCTGGTGTGATGATKGCTGTGATGGAGAAAACAGTTTGCTACAGCAGCACCAGCGGTGAAGGAAGAGCTGTTGAGGAGTCGTCACAGCTGCAGCTGCTCTATTTCAACCTGTTTTTTTGTTTGTTTTTGTGTTTTATTATGGTGATTGGTTTTACAAATTTAATAGTGCCACTTAAGTCACTTCTTTCTCTGGTTTGATTTACAGTTTATCTACATTTTGTAAATAGCGAATAAGGCGCCTTTGATTGAGTTTTAGTTTTTTTTAATTTATGTTTGTTTGTTTGCATTTAACCTCTGAAGGGAGATGTGTTGCACTGCACTGCCTTCAAGTTCTCTGGGTTGACCTCTTTTAAATTTAACAGTGGTCACATTTTTAAAAATATAAATTTAAAAGACTGGCTTTCTCATCCTCTGACACCAATTTGAAACTCAGACCTGAGATTYAAAAAGGCATGTAACTGGTTTTATATTTTGTTTAACAGAAGTGGACCTCTCCTTCTAAACTAGATGAATGACCATCTTTACATGTCTGAGAGACTCAACTTTTTTAATGTCAAATTAAAAATGTACACAAATTTGATAAAATGTCATATCAGAAATTCACCACTAGATGGCGATGTAGTCAAGTGAATGGCAAATAAAAACAGTGCTTGTGGAAACTTCATGATTAAATAAATCTCTGGATTTTGCAGCACCTTAATACCAAAAAATGGGGAAGAGGATCTGATCAGTATAAAGCTGGAAAAAGTACAGTCCTGTTTCATAAAGAGAAGAGTTTAATACATCCTTAGAATAAAGCAACATATAGGTCATTAGTTATTCAACTAATATCAAGCCTAATTATGTCCATCATTTAAAGGTGAAGCTTGATGAGAGTAGGACAATAAGGTTMATCTCAGACTCTACAGGTCTCTGTTAGTACAGTAAGTGGTAAAGTTTAGGGCAGTATCGTGAGAAAAAGCCTGAATAAGCATGACTTGTTTGGAAGAGTTGAGAAAGTAAAACCTGTCTCTTTTAAAACAAAACAAAACAAAAATGTCGTGGAGAAACAAGACCAAAATTTGAAAACTGAAAAACCTAACAAAAACATCTCATGCCGTCAAGCACAGAAGGAGGCAGATGARCATATTTAATCTGCTCTAGTTTAAAAACTAAAATATTCTTCAAAMCTGGATTAGATTATTCTACACTAATAGCAGAATATTTAAAAACAACTTTGGCATTTGTGAAACCTTTATCTGATTTATGAAACTTCAATAAAGTTCATTTTCAGCACTTTTTTTATGAATCTGGACCACACTGGACCTAGTCCAGATGCAAAACCACAACMGCTAGACACCTGCACTAGATTATTCTACACAAGTAGAATATTTTAAATCAAGTTTTGGATTTAGGAAACCTTTTATAATTTGTGAAACTTCAAAGTGCTATTATGCCACTTGTTATTCATCTTGGACCACTAGACCTGGTCCAGCTCCAAAACTACAACATGAAAAGTTCTTCAAATCTGATCYAGATTAGGCTACCAGTTATCAAAATTCTTAAGTCTAAGAATCACTCTTACTCTCAAGAAAAGCTCAGACTGCTCCAGAGGACTCTTAAGTGGTTAARAGTTGCCACTMGGGGTCTGAGRTGGGCTGAAGACAGAAATTACAGCTGTCCTCCTCACCACCTGAGTGTTAGTCTCAGTAATAAGGTGGAAAACAGGTTTAATCAGAAATATACAAATGAAATAAAGGTAAAAAAAAAAACTATGCATAATGTTGGACTAAAAGGTGGATATTTGTGTGTGGCTTTTGGAGAAAATATTAAATATACTGAGTGTATGTGACCCCGTTCAAACCCCCCCACCCCCCGCCCAATTTTTTTTTAATTACGGTGGGATTGAACATTTCGTTTATTATGAGAACAATCATGCAATACAATGATTGGGGGTGTGTGTGCGCACGTTCCTCTCGGACCAAGCTGTTAATGACGGAGTGGTGTGTGTGTGTGTGTGTGTGTGTGTGTGTGTGTGTGTGTGTGTGTGTGTGTGTGTGTGTGTGTGTAAAGCTGGTGTTGTCTGCTGATGGTGGTGAAGAGGAGAAGAGTGCAGCTCAATATGATTTTTTGATTTAAAAATAATTACATCTGTATTCATGATGCAAATAAGGACATTTGATGTAATTTACAGACAATCAGTACAAGATGACAACATTAGTGTGCTGAAAATGAACTTATCTTAGGATTTTCACAGTCTTATCCTGACATTTCTTTGACAATATTCTTGAACATGAAATCTGAGGCAGTGATTGGTTCATGCCTGGGTTTTTTCTAACGACGTCATCCAGGATCAGTTTTGCGGCACAGCCAGGTGTAATAAACCAGCTCTAAGACTGACACTTAAGAATTACTCCTACACTTCACTTAAAGTAAGACTGAGATGCTTGATAACTGACTTTTACTCTCAGCTTTTAACTAAGAAGTTTTTTTTACACTTAAGTCCACTGTTAGCAGCTTAAGAGTAATTCTAAGAAGTTTTAAGTTAATTTAAGTTAAGTTAAGTAAATATGGGCCCAGGTCCAGCTCCAAACTACAACATGTAGACTCTTCAAATCTGGACTAGATTTTTCTACACTTTAAGTGTAGAAACTTTACATCAGAATATCTAAAACCAATTTGATGATTTGTGAAACCTTTATTTGATTTGTGAAAATTTAATTAAAGGCTATATTGGGAATTGTTTTTACAGTATTGGTATTAGAGATCGCTGCAAAGTTTAAAACAAAATRCAGATGATTATCCACAGTGGCTCCATGCTGATCAAAGACTGGATGCTGCAAGTAAATGGCAGGGCAAAAACATCATATAAGTTGTTGTTTGATAACTATGATTAGTTGGAATGTATGTGAAGGGAATTATCAAAAAATGGAAGTCTGAATAAAAACCAGTGGAATGTTTTCTAAAAACTTTATTCTCRTCTCTGACACCAATCAGCTAAAYCGCCRCCTTATCTGAATATAAAAACAGAGCTCAGGCACAAAAAAAGCTTAACTAATGAGGAACTACTCAKTAACTACTGAGTACTGATCACAGCATTCTGTAAACAACAGGACCGTAACTGACCAAACAAAATGGAATATAATATAAAACGCGTGAATTTCTGAGGTATATTGGCCACTGCTGCTTCCTGTAGTCTACCTGCTRTTACCTGGTAACGGGCACGCGGGCTTCGCTCCTGAGCCACCACCCCCCACCAGACCTGAGTGAAGTTGCCCCCCCACGTTCAAATCTAACAAAATTGGTGTGAAATGTTTGTGCTACGTTTGTGCAGCAAAAAAAAAAAAAAAAAAAGAATTGTTTTTGCCGCTATTGTTTTGAAGATATTAATAAAAGTTTCTAGAGGTCATCAGAGGTCAACCCCCCCCAACACACACATTACCCAAATCAAACAAAACTGGTGCCAATCAATTGTGCTACATTTGTGCTGGTTTGTGCTGCTCAAATTTTTGTTTGTGCTACTTTTATTTTGAAAATATTAACGAAAGTGTACCAACATGAWCYACATTTTGTTCATTGATATGATATAAAACTGCCTTTTATAATGCATTTCATAAAAGCTGAATTTCCAAAACAGCTGTTCTCATTCACAAATTCTAATGCTTATATCATCAAGCGGAGGAGAAAAATCAGATTTTGACTGAAAAGGGGTGACTTCAGAACAATATAGAAATTTTATTCACTTTTAACTAGTGCTGTGAAATTGAGTGAGTTAACTGATTAATTTTAGTGCCGCATGGG